TATTATACGCAACTATTTGTTTCTAGCCGTACCTATTGTGTAATGGAGTGTATCTGGTGGTACAGTATTTGAATCTGTTCAACCATAAACCATGGTATTTGAATCTGTTCAATCATGGTCTATGGTTATGACGCTTGCCTTGACAGAGAGAGGTCGCATGTTCGAGTCCCGAATTAAAGGACTACATTCGTTGAGAGCTATGCTACACAATGTATTATTATGTCCTTGTATTTGAACACTGTATTTACCATTCTTTTTAACAGTGGGAAAAAATTTAATAGTATGGTTTGGAATAATCATATAAACACTGCCACTTTACTATTTTACAAAATACTTGGTTTATTATGAGAATTATTTTAATCATAGAGATGGAGATAAATGTAGATGTATGTGGGTGACGTATCGATTAAAGTACGTCATTGTAGTATTGTGGAATACTGTAATAAAAAAAATTTGATAAAGAAAAGAAATAATAAGCCTATTGTGAGCATTGACATTTATTATAATTTACTTTGTCACTTTTAGTTCTTTTATTTATATTTAATTACTTATAACTTCTTATGTAATATTAATTTTGTAATGCTATGTTTGAAAAAAAATAAAAATAAAAAAAAAAAATATAGAGAAAAAAAAAGAAAGTTATGTTCAAAATGTTCATTTGCCATAATCATATTTTCTTTTTACCCCAGCCCCCTCCATGATGGGGCACAGGTGGTATGGACCTTACATCTGTGAAAGTCCCTCCTTGGGCCCTTCTACTTTCAATTCATGGATCCGCCACTGCAGAATTCCCGGAACTGACATCTTTCAACTTTGGACCCTTGTACTATATGTAAGGTGTGTGATTGTTTCTGAATTTGAAAATAACAGAATAAAAGTGTTAGATACAAATGATAAATTTATTATCTTTATTGAATAATCAATGAGAGTAAAACACCATATTGCACTTATTTTTTTTATTTTATTCATTTTGGTAGAAAACCACAAAAAAATAATATGAATAAAATATCACATTCAGGAATAAGGAAAAAAGGAAACGTATTAAAGTAACCACAAATATATATGTTTGCTACCAGTATTTTCTTTTGTCTGCAATTGATGCATAGAATGGAGTACAAAAAGGTTGGCTTGTACACACTTCTGACTTTGAATAGCATAATTTTGTTTTTAAAAGAAACTCTCCTGTAATAATCACATGCATAAAGGTGTGTTTGATAATGAAACTACATCCTCAACAAAGTGTAGTTCAGTTTTGAGAGTTGTTGGTGTAGTGGTTACAATCAAAATCAAAGGTAAGTATTAAGACAGTAATACAATTCTAGAAGAAACCCTTTGATATATAGTTTAGTATCAGCCTGTTGATGCGCATTAAAAACATGTTTTAAAGAGATTTGTTCAATATATATTATTATTATTATTATTATTATTATTATTATTATTATTATTATTATTATTACCACCTCTGCCAACGGTAGGAGGTTTTGTTTTTGTCTGGTCTTTTATTTAGCTATTTATTTGTCTGTCGGCATACTTGTTGTGAACAGCCTACATCCCATATTTTTTATCAAAAATTCATCAAGCGGCTCCCCACCCCCTCATTTGTACACTACTAGTAATACTAATAATAATACTGTACTAGTAGTAATAATATTAATAATAATTATGATGATGACAATGATGATATTAATAATATTAAAAAGTGAAGAAAATTGTGCTAAAGGCAAATAAGTAAGTTGTGATTTGTTGATCACAATTATTATTTATTTATTTTGTTTATTTATTTTATTTATTTCGAAAATCATCCAACAGCGGAAGTATAGTTAAAGCTTAGTAAGGTATAGTTAGGCCTAAGTTGGGTGATGATGAATTTTACTATATAAAAGTGTCATTTCCGGCCACCTAGATATACTATTTCCTCAAATTTTCGCATGGTTGGGGCTGAGGTGGTTGTGAAATCACAGCTTTGAAGTATATAAAGTACATACTCCAAAACAATGTTTAAGCTTATTTTCTATGGTACATCACACATATTAATAAGATCTCTACGGTTGCCAAAAATCCCTGATAAAAGATCATGAGAAATTTGTTGGCACTTCATTTTGAGTATAGTAATCAATGCTGTAGCCAGCTATTGGGACAGTACCACATAATTTTTCTTTTGTGGCCACTAAAATGGGTCTAAATTTTCAAAAATAGGCCTAAATTATGCTGTTTTAGCACAAGATTTTCATATTTCCGCATAAAATTCGTCAACTTTTAAGAAAATGGGTACAGATTTTTCATATTTTTGCATAAAATGGGTAAACTTTTAAGAAAATGGGTGCACATTATTTGAATTTACACGTAAAGTGGGTCCACAATGATATTGTTCTGCACAGTTTGAAAATCCTGACTACAGCATTTTATATAACAGTGATGTGATGATGATGAATTTTACAAAAAATGTCATTTTCTGGTCAAATAGAGGTACCATTTCCTTAAATTTTCGCACCTCAAACCCAACCATAGTGGGTCTGAGGTGGGTGTTGCTCACGAACTGTCCCCCACCCCACCTTCACCTTTCAAAATAGAATGCGCCCTTTCTGGGTATGACATTAAACTCCATCGAGTCGACACCTGAGTATGTCTTAGTGACTGCTGATGAGGCAGGATTGCATAAATTTGTTTTTAGGATGTGATCTGGTTTTACATGCCCATTTTTCATGATTATGACCATTTTGGATAAAGAATATTTTGAGCATTGGTGAATTAAAGTCCCCTCCCCCTAAATCTTTTAATGAAAAAAAAAAAGAAGAAAAATATAGGCCCCTTATCCAAATTTAAGTCTGAGAGTGTAATTTCCAACCATCTAGATGTGCCCTAATCATACATTTTCTTCTGAGTGGTTCCTCAATCTGTAAAAGTCCCTCCCTGGGTCACCTCCCTGGATCCACCACTGTAATTTTTATATAATTGTTAGGCTTACTAATATTATTTATAATACGTTTATTGCAAATTCCACAGGGTCCTACATACCTCGCATAGCTGCTCCCCCCCCCTTCAAAATCCAGGCTACGTCCCTGATCTGAGGACCATTTAAAGGAAAATTTTCCAGACCGCATATTCTGAAAACGGATCAACTGATCTGAATGAAACATTCGGAAAAAGTTTACCTAAGTTAAAAGGAAGAAATTATGTGCTGGCGACGAAACAGTCCAAGGGTGTAAATGGGAGGGTCATTTCAATTTTTGAGGACCCACACCTAAATATCTTTTAAAAAAATCAATGGGTATAATTTAAACGTTGTATAACAGTTTGTTGGGTTCAAGTAAAAGAAATTATTACATTTTTGTGACGATTCGGAGTAGGGTGTAGCTCTGAGGACTATGGAAAGGAAAACGTCCCAGACCACATATTTTGAAAACGGACCAACTGATCTGAATGAAACATTCGGAAAAGGTTTAACCAAGTTACAAATGACGATAGTATTATGTGTTGGCGACGATTCAATCACGGGTGTAATTTGGAGGATCATTTATATCTTTCGGGAAAGTTTAAGCCATAATACAAGGAAGATATTATTATGTGTAAAGGACGATCCAGGTTAGGGTTTAAACTTTTGAGGGTCATTTAAATTGCTTACGTTCCAGTTATAGATTGATAAAAATGACACCTTGTTTTTCATGGTGAAATAAAGAAATGATCCAATTTTGGCGACGATCCGCAATATGTGGATATGAGGATCATTTAAAGATTTTTTGTTGACAGTTGATTCAATTATTTAAATGCAATTTGCATTTTCTAAAGTGCTTAAACCAGTTACAGCTAGGTTAAACTTAAAACTACCGTGATATGCATAAACAATTTTTGCTTTCAGTCATTGAATTGCTATGAACTCAAAATGCACTTTCCTATACAAGGTCGGCTCATATAGCGCGCAATGGTTATGGGTCACAATGTACATCGCTATTACCATTGCAGCCATAGTTCAAGTCTCACTAATAACGTCGCAGTGAACTTGGTTTTCATTGTTTTTCCCCACTTAATTTTTTCCACTTCATTGAAATTATATTGGTTTTCCGTGTTTCTTTTTTTTAAATTTCAACTTCATTTCTCATTAAAGCAATAGGGAAAAGCCCTATGTTCTGTTGTTCAAACAGATATAGTAAGTCTAGTTATTATTACTAATATTATTATTATTATGTTTGAAATGTTATTGTACAAAAGTAGGTTAATATCTGCCATATCTGCCATAATATTAATGGTTTTGCTCTTCCATTTTATATCACATTTCACTACAGGCTTCAATCTACTGATAGCCACAGTGAGCAGTCAACGACAAAGCAAAGAAGCTATAGTTAGCAACTATGGCAGCACCCTCAGAATTTCATGGTACAAATTTTTTATTCTGTTTCTTTTCACAAGTATTTTATATAATACATACACAGCATATACTA